CAATTTATTATTGGTATATATTTGGGGCTAAAAACCCAATATGGGCCAATGATAAATAACCTAAAAAGTATGTGGTTTCCGAAAGGCGGGAACACTGCCATATTTATTACGACTTAATATTCTTCGTAAATAGAACGAATTCATAAAAATAAAAATTTAGAATTACATGTACTTAGTACGTAATACTTGAGTAAGAGTCTTCCTCAAGCGCGCGTGAAAGCCAAAAACAGTCGTTTCAGCTCCGTTACAGCATTTGTTTTAAGATCGACCATGATAGAAACGGTTCGCGTTTTGCCATATGAGCAGAGTAAGCCCACTCTGACGCTTTGCCACGCAAACTTTACGACACCATTCTGGTGTCGTCTTCGATGAGCTGCGCCATACCGCATTGCTCCACTGATAATAGCCATATGTGGGGAAGTCCCATCAAACTTCGGAGGGTACATCCGCATGGGAACCAGCTGGTTAGACCGGGCAGAGAGCATTTCAACAGTTCTGTTGAGTGCCTCATTCCGAGCCTGCTCAACAGAGCTCATCCTGAGTCTTATTAATGGACTCAGCCGTAGCTTGGCTGTTTGCCTCGGACGCATGTCTGCACGTACGCCTCAAATTGCTACAACTGAGCAGCATGTTGCCCAGGAGGACATTTAAGAGGTTGGCCAGGACTTGTTTACCAAGTCCCTGCACCAAATGCTCATCCAACTCATTATGGTGTTAAGATAGGTAATAAAAATCTCCCCAATTTATATTGAAGACCATCCACGCTCACACGCGCGCTCAGAGAGATGGGTCGTGAGAAGGAAACTAGTACCAAGTATATAGTGGCACTTCTAGGAAGCCGCCACGTACTAATTTGGCACACACCTTCAAGAACTCGAGTAAGCGGTTAATCGTCTAACCTTCGTGTGCGGTGGTGGGGTGTTTGGTCGACAGCTTAGGCGGTTGTACCAACCGTTGCGAGTCGCCGAATCGAACCGCGCATCGAACTTCTAAAAGTGCTTCACTTGCGCCACGCAGAAGCTTATTCAGCTTCTCATGGGCAGTGAGCGTTAGTTAGAAAATTCAAGACGGATTTATATTTGATAGAAATATTTAAATATAAATCTAACCACTGATTGGTTAAACGTAAAGATCGGATACGCGTCTCTTTAGAAGCGTATCACTACGTGCGAGCTTGAAACATATTTAAGCTCGCTGGTGACGTCTGTTTGACGTCACCATGACGCCTATTCGCAACTGGGCGTCATCCCTGTTGAATGTTAATCTATCCATGGATATCACATTCACGAGGGTGGGTCACATTGATGTGCCGCACCCAAGTGGCACCTCTAAGGTACCACGTAACCTATTAGACCTCCCCGTTAAGTGTCATATACTTAACGGACGCGTGTAACTATTAGCTCGTTACAAAAACGATAGTATGGAGCGCCGAATCATGCTCTCTAAGGCACACATAGAATAGTGAATATATACAAGACCAGCGTTGGGCAGCTCTACTGAATTGTTGAAGACACAGGAGCTACATACAACGTAGCCGCACGCGTGGCAAACGCGGCTTAATTGCAGTTGGAACAGGTGGTTAGAGCTCTTAGAAGCAAACTTGGAGCTTCATTGCATCTTCGCGACAAAGGAGATGTATCCAAATGCTTTTAGCAAAATAAGTATGAGCACAGACGTCAATAGCTAAATCGTGCTTCTTCATTACTAGGCGAGAAGAAAAACACGACGTGCAACAACCATGTTCTATTTCAGCCGTGTACACGATCTCGGTGTGGCCTGCATGGGTCGCCAATTGCTGATTTCGTTTGTTCTGAGTGGCGGATAAGAAATTTGAGCGGAATCGTGTGACAACCTCGAGGCTCATTGTCTTGGTAGCACATAAGTTATCATAGTCAGCAATACTGTTTTAGAGGCAGTAGCTGATAGGCAATCCAACTAATTTACGGATCATGTCAGTAGCCACGGCAACATTCATTTCTCGGTATGGCAGCGGTCCCGAAGCCCAGAAACTTGAGTATCGCACGTTTAAAGCGTTCAATAGTCGCTCTCGTGGCTGAAAATAAGAGTTGTTAAATCTTAACGGAAATGACCTTGTCCTAGATTAGCTTATATTCTGGAGAACTGCATCTTTACCAGTCTGAAAAAATGACTCATAACTGTGTCTGCCCGGAGCTTGACAATGTTCAAGTCCGAATACATTACCTATCTAAATTTATTATCTGGGGATTGTGATGTCCTATAAAAGTAAAGGGCTTAAAATTAAAGATAAATTAAAAAATATATTATTTCCTTGTATTTACTGTATAGGTCAGTATTGCTCCCACGCCGCAACAGCAATTACTCCACCACACCTTCTTCACCTTAACTAATCGCCAGTCGTACACAAAGATACTTCAAGGAGCAAAACACACCACAATAACGGATAATATTCGCATTTCTCTCTGCAAATATCACATAGCAAACCCGAAGCTGACCCGCTGCTTACTATACATGATAAACCGGGACTAAATATTAACTGGGTCTTCACGGCTCTCGAAGCAGTTCATATCGTGGTACCGGCATTGGCGCTCAGCGAATGGGTCGACTACTTCGGCTAGATCGTGAAGACTAGGAACTAACTTGGGCTGAATATGTTTCTATATTTACGCTTTGTCTACGGTCCAATACCCAGGATTATTCTCACACACTACGCATATAAAAGAAAAAAAGATAGAATGAATTGGTTGTGACTGATCTTAAAAAAACAATTAAATAGAAGAGGTGTATTCAAACTATAACCAAGCCATTTTTTTAATGGCGCACCTTCCGCTTATACTCTTGATGTAACGAAGTGAGTCCGTTACATAAAATTGACACTTCTATGAAGTTTCCATAGAATATTAACATAACATAACATTTGACAATATTGCCCTACCCACGACTCGGACTCATACCCGCGGGTAATTAATAACCCATGTTACCCGCGCAATATACATGCAGAGTTGTGGACTACCAAACAATATGGAAGGGAGAAAAACATCGTGAAAACTGGTCATAAAAGTACTAACACTCTACGTCTCCCACGTGGGAAGTTCAAGCGGGCAAGCGAAAGTGCTGACAAAATAACTAGTCCCTTACCGACAAAAAACGTGACCCTGTGTCCTTATCCAATCCTTGAGGCACAGAAGCCTCTCCAAGTTTTTAGGGGGAAGAGAAGTTCTATCCCACCAGTACGTCCTTCTACCTTGAGAGAAAAATCTCTCAGACGGAGCTGAAGACGCGGGGATGGCCAGATAAAATCTCGCCATCCTTGCAAATTTCATAATTCGCAGCTGATGCGATGCTAGCCACTCCAATGGCGACTGGTCTCTGTTAACAGGAAAAAGAGCAAAATAAATTTATGCTTCTTCCTCGACTTTGCTCACTGTGGTCTGTAGGACTCTTCCTTCAGCGAAGGCAAAGATATCTGGCTCTATGTCGTCATCGCTCTTGTCGTCACCAATGTTAACAGGTGGCGGAGGCGGAACCCTTCTAATGACTTCTGAAAGATGTATGCTGCATCCACAAAAACAACTCGATTGCTTCTGGGCTATAAACTATAGCCCAAAGGTTGCTGCGGCCATTCGTTGAGGTCCTCGAACCAGCTGATATTCCATCTCGGATCTAACACCGTTGCAAAGAAGTTTGCATCCTGTTTCAACGCCAGCTTGATAAATCTTTAGAGTTTGCTTTGCATGGCCTGTGCCACCGGCTCCAGTTTCTTTGCATCATATGTGCTGTAGACCTTCACAAAAAAAAGGCGCAATACAAATAACAATTAGAGATTAATACGAGCAGATATGTCTGATGTATGTCCAGAAAATCTGGTACATTTAACTCCATGGGTACCCATGGGTAAGTGGGTTGGGTAAAGTCTATTACCCATACCCAACTTATAAGTCTGGGTATGGGTAATTACCCACTGAGTCTGAGTCTGGGTACCACCTCTAATTTATATATATATCCCAAAATTGTAAAGGGTGTGAGTTCAATATCATCTCCCTTACTTTATTATACATAATTTTCAAAAATGAAGTGGGTGTGAACGTAAGGAAAAAGGGTGTGAATATAGCAACTCCTTATCTTTATTTACACTTCATACAAGAGTCGATAGTATGTAACAAACTAATTCGTCACAATTATGATGGATAATATTTTACGGAGGAAAAATTTGACGGGGTCTATTGTATTACTTATCTAGATTATAGCGTAAGGGTAATATTGCTGCGAGCCTTTGTGCTACATATTTTAGTCCATGACTATAACATGGGCCAGTAGTTTCACTTAAAACATTGACCATTTCAAATAGGCATTCTCCATTCCTCATGTTTGACAAGTCACAAGCCCAATTTGGACAAGTGTGCATAACAGACAGAATATCTTCTTCTGATGGCCTCAATACTACTGCGAGAAGTTGTTAAGCGACTTCAGCGTAAAAGGTAAAATAGAGTGTCTGGCAGTCACAATGATTTAATGAGCTCTGTCTGCACAATCAAAAGTCAAGAGCGAGTATTAGACAATACAGCTCTTTGCCTTTCGCATTTGCGAGCGCGCGTTATGTTATATGGCGGTGTTAACAATAACATAATGGGAATTTGCAACGATATTACGAAGCTAGTTAACTTAAACGCGAGCATGTTCGCGAGCTAAGCTGCACAGGACCTACATACCTGTCTTGTTTCTGTCGCCGTATCCTAACAAAATCAAGTAAACCTTTCTCATTGATGCAAGCGGCCACAACCAAGAACCGCTAATGTACTATAAACTAGCTATCCAAAAGGAATGTACTCTAGAGATGTTAGCTTCACGTCAGTGTTGCAAAGCAAAATAATCTCAACTCGACAAATATAAATATTTGCTCACTTCTAAAGAATATATTTATTTTTCCGTCCGTGCTTAACGAGAAAAGCCGACTAAAAAGTACTTTTATTACACGCTACAACTGGGTTACAGCTATTTTATTGGGTCTATTTCTACATGAAATGGCGACGACAGTCAAGAAGTGTCTAAAACTGCACAAGCTCTTCGTCGCCGAGGTTCGACACCTTCTTTGTCTTGTTTGAACCGACTCACTTGAAAAAAGTTTTCTTCGCTAGTTTTTACTTTGGTCGTCTCCTTTATCATTAACCGTTTTTGTCATTGGTAAATGACTGGTGCAGGTGACGCGTAGCTCACGTCTCGAGTCAGAAGGGTCACAAGTACTTTCAACACTCGCTAATGTTAGTCAGCGTGTGCCGACATTGTTACAATATGACAGTACAAACGGTACTGGCAATGGTCACTTGAAAAGCAATGTGGAGACAATGGGCGTGCTAACTTATTCCAGCAACACTCAAGCTTTATTACTTCAGAAACACTTTTTAACTCTGGAAAAGAGTCTAGCGTTCTTAACTGATATCATGCGCGACTTTCAAGAGTTGCTACGTCATCTTCGGTCGTTTGCGAGTGAGTGTGTGGTCCTCGTGGATGACGCACTTCTTGAAGGTGAAACTGTAGTCAGTGTTGATAACGAAATGGCAGTTGTGACTTTTCCTTTGCAAGTACAAGAGTGGATGGAGACTGTGCTAGCAATGTTTGAACATGAAGTGCTGCGAAAAGTAAGACTTGTGACAAATTTAGAGTACAGTGATCCGAGAAGGCTGAATGCTGTGCACAAGCAGTGGAGTTCAAAGGGGGTCATGGGCAACGTTGACTACAACTATGGTAGGAGATTTCTGCTCATGTTGACCAGACGTTTTGTGTAACTGATGATGTGAGCAGTGCAAACAGGTCTGCAACTGTTACAAGTAAATTCTTGTTTACCTTCGCAATCTAGTGATTCGAGATCGATTACTTCCGAAAGCAAGAGGAAGAAGAAGACGAACAAAGCAAATAAATAACGTTTGCTCTGCCACCATCGACCTTTAATCTGTGTTACGTCGTTCTCTATCCCCGTAACAAGTAAATTAATTCATGACAATCTGCAGTGTATATAAAAAAATTCATACAAATGGAATACCGCTAAAAGTACGAGCTTTGTACGCAGGATACTCGTTTGGAAAGAAACCAAGCAGCAATTGCTCCTCATACCTAACAACAAGCATCAAAACAGTTTATACCCATATATAACAGATTCAACAACAACTAGACACGGTTGCGTACGGAATACGATCGTGAAAAAAACTCCAGGCTACAAGGGTGTAGCCCAAAGCACACACCGGATTGGCTAGAAGAATTTGACTGCCTACAATCCACCAAAACCAGCCGAGATAGCTTGGGTGACGAATAAAGCGGTACACTCCGTGTGTAACTAACCGATGCTCTTTCCTCTTGAAATACTCAATCCGATGAGAGAAATTGTTCGCAGCAGTGCTCATTGCCGCCATTCGAAAGAATTGACCCCCAATGACGAATGCCATTCCCACTGGACGCACAAATGAATGTAATTTCCACATTGGTACAAAATAGAATTCCAACCAGAATTCTACACAGCTCAATAATACTGCTAAATGGTATTCTCGACTGTGATTTAGTAGGAAAGCTGCAATTACAACAAAAGATGTGTTAGCAACATATCTGCCGGTACTGTTGGCGCTGGTTAAGTGTGGTAAACAACAATTGCAACAAAATTTTCTGGAAACATACACTCATAGCTGACATTTGTCGGACGATAGGCAGCCGTCATCATAAATTCCATTAAGTGGAAAAATCCTAGTGCCAACGCGTACCAACTCCATTGTTCCAGACACTGCCAGCGCGAAGAAGCTATTGCGTCGAAAGACGGGTCCATCAGGGCCACACATTTTGTATAGATCAGCAGAGAGACGTGAAGAGTCATGAACACGCCCAGCCCAAAAGCCGCTAGCGCTACTTTGCCCAGCCCACGGTCGGAGCGGAATGCCTCGGATTTGAACATGTGGGAATGATGAGTTTTTTTGCAACAATTGTGCCTTATAAATTTATAGGATGATGACAAAATGTTACAATATTAAATTAATTACAATACGACATCCAGTGAAACAAATTGATGTTTTAATTATCGTTGTATATAGATCTCAGTCACGATTGGTCGAAATGAAACCGTTAAGTTCTGTACCGGTACACCGGTAGTAGGATTGTTATAAATTCTATCGCGTGCATACATATGATTTAGATCTCAGAATATTACATAAACTGTAACGGGCTGAAAGTAACACGGTTTGTAAGTATCGAATACTTAACGGGCAGGCCTAAATGGATACGAGGTACCTTAGGCCTGCCACTTGGGTGTGGCACATCAATGTGACCCACCCTCGTAAATGTGATATCCATGGATGGATTCACATTCAACGAGGATGACGCCAGTTGGGACTGGGCGTCATGGTGACGCTTCAGACAGACGTCATCAGCGACCTTAGATCGCACGTAAGGATACGCTTCTAAAGAGACGCGTATCCAATCGTTGCATAATTAACTAATCAGTAGTCATGTTTAAATTTATATAATTTCTATCAAATTTAAGTCAGTCTTAAATATACTAATTACTACCCACTGCGCACGAAAAGCTTGATAAGCTTCTGCGTGACGTAAGTGAGGTACTTCTTAGTTGTTTGTTGCGCGGACCGCTCTAAGCGGCCGTCAACAGTTTGGTTCGGCGCATTAAGCGACCGACCAACGCAACCACCACCGCACGCGGAGGTAAGACGGATTAACCGATTCCTCGCGCTGCTTAAAGGTTTGCCCGCGTAGTACGTGGCAGCTTCATTACGAAGCGCTCGTCTGCACTTGGTAGCACTAGTAGTCTTTCCCACGACCCCTCCCTCTGATCGTATGTAAGAATACGGATCTTCCTCAAGGTGAATTGGAATGGTTTTCCTCACCTCTCCCAGCATCATCGGAGTTGGATGAGCATTTGGTGCCGGGACTTGGTAAACAAACCCTGGCCAATCTCTTGGGTTGTACTCCTGAGCAACATGTTGCTCAGTTGTAGCAATTTGAGGCGTTTGTGCTCGGACAGCGCAGAAACGCGTCCGAGGCAAACAGCCAAGCCACGGCTGAGTCCATCAATAAGACCCAGGATGAGCTTTTGCGTGAGCAAGCTCGGAATGAGGCGCTCAAAAGAGCTGTTGAGATGCTCTCGGCCCGGTCTAATTAGCCAAGGCCCATTCGGATGGACCCTTCGAAGCATATAAGACTGCCCCACATGCGATTGTCTACTAACTTTTAGCCGTGGAGCATGCGGTATGACGCAGCTAATCGAAGACGACACAAGGGTGGTGTCGGATGCCATGTCAAATTTGCGTGGCAAAACGTCAGAGTGGGCTTACTCTGCGCTTATGGCAAGTGCAAAAAATGTTTTCATTTTGGATGATATTTAAGACAAAGATTCGCGCCATGTACCAGCCGCCTTACAATAAAGTGTTACTTCAGGCGCGATTCTTTGGAGCACGACAGGCGAAACGATCTCTGCAAGGGTATGTGCAGGAGATGAGTTTGCTGTCTGCGTCCATTAATGTGTGTCCGATATCGGAACACATTAAGGTGCCTACGTTCATTTACGGACTACGGCACGGCCCGTCACGTCAGGCCCTTTTCAGAAAGGTGTCAAATACTATGAAAGAGGCAATTGACATTGCCTTGGTTGAGGAGCAATCCTACAACAGCGCCTCGGCGACAGCCTATTACAGGCCGTCGGCCGAAAGGTCTGATGCCACATCTATAGAGTTAGGCAATGCAGATGTGATCTGCTACAAGTACGGCAAGCGAGACCATATTATGGCTCGCTGCTATGCCAAAGTAGCTGCTGGTGCTAAGGCAGCCAGCAAAAGGTCGCCCAACCCGAAGGGTGGTTCGAAGAACCGTGCACGTCGCACGGGTTCAGATTCACCTGCCCAAGATGGGTCGGGCCCCCCCCCCCCCGGGGGCCCCCCCACCAAAACAGCATTCCCACAAGTCATAAATGCGGGAGCGCATTAGGAGCGGGATGCCCTACTGTCGCGGACTCTGAAGCTACCCCTAAGTTCAGAGTGATCGAACAAATGGGTAGCATAGTCCCTGAGGTTCCGAAAGGTCGGACCTCAATACTTTTGGTCTATAGCGCTCAAGTACGAGGTTATGACCAAGTGATGACTCTTCTCGTGGATTCGGGTGCATCACAAAACTTTGTGAAAGTCGCGGCTCTGAAAAAGAAGTCCGGCAAGTTATGAGTCGCTTTGCCAGGATGGCAAGCGAGAAGAGGCGATCGTTCGTTTAGCAAACGGCGCACTCGTTAAATCGGAGGGAGTTCAAGTTGAACTCGCCTTCAGTTTCAGTGACTTCTCTTGTAAAGAGAAGTTCACAGTGCTAGGTATGGAGAGTCCGTATGACCTCATCCTAGGCATGCCTTGGTTGGCTAAACACCAACCATGGATTGACTGGCGTACACGAACAGTCGCTAGCTCTACGCAAGACACCGGAAAGGATGTGCTCTTGCGAGAGGCTTATGTGACTGATGCTGTGTCCAACACAGTCGAGGGTGCGATGACGGTATGTCAATCGGCATTAGGTACTACCCAAATCGAAAGGAGTGGTGTAGTTGGAAGTGTCTTGACAGCAAGTCCGATGAAACATATTCCTATTCAGCTCGAGGAGACTAATGTAGTGAATGGGGCGATGACAGGTAGTCGTGCGTCCAATAGTCCTGCACAGAGCCGAGAGCCTGTGGCAGTTGATAGTGGGCTGACAGGAAGTCAAGCGCCACAAGAACCGGCACAGAGCCAAGAGCCTGGTGCGGTTGGAAGGAGTGCGTTAGCTGAGATAGCAACGACACCTTCTTCCAGGTCAAAGGTCGTGGTGACTCGAAGAACGAGCACCAGACGTATTAAGACGACCAAAGGCACGTCGAAACGAGTGACCCTTGGATCAGTCTCGGTCCAAGAGGACGGACCTACGAACGAGTTTTTCGAGGCCGTCGAAGACAAAGTGCCGGAGGCATCCTCAGTTGAGGTGCTCCAAAGTGTCTTGGCATCTGCCGAGGAGATAGTAAATCTCTCGGAGATGACGTGGGATCTGTTCCTGTCCGAAGTAAAGGAAGGAAAGATCCACGAGATAGTCGCACCAGTTCCAGAAGAGAACGTGGTGGACTGTTGCTTTTCATCTACAATGGATGAGAGCGTCTTGGAGACCGACAAAAAGAAACGGTTCGCTGCTCAAGGCTGGGATGCCTTGAAGGACAGCCCGTTCTATGATGTTCTGTGGAAACACCGTGATTTGTTTCCGCAGAAGTGCCGAGCCGCCTACCGGCCGATAGGAGCACCAGCCACGAAATTGACCTGACTCCTGGCACCAAGTATTGTGTGACCTGGCAATGGACGTTGCCGAAGGAACAAGTCGATTACATCGCTAAGTTCTTCACCAAGCGAGCCAAGGCGGGTAATGTACGTGAGAGCAAGTCGCCGCACTGCAGCCCGACCTTCTGTGTGCGTAAAGCCACGGGTGGATGGCGCGTGGTTCATGCTTATAATAAGTTGAACACGGCCACCATTCCAGCTCAAACGCCGATCCCGCGGAAAGGTGTCTTGTTGAATTCCATGGGAAAGTCAACTATCTTTTCCGCGTTGGATCTGAAGGATGGCTACTATCAAGTTCTCATGAGAGATACCGATGTAGCCAAAACGGCACTAAGCACCCCAAGCGGTATGCTGTGGGAGTGGCTTGTGATGCAACAAGGGTTGAAAAATGCTCCAGCAACATTCAACCGAGTGGTGGCTCACGTGATGCGTCAGCACCGTGCCTACGCGCCCCATTACTTTGACGATGTATTCGTGTATAGTAGGGCGGAGGACGGTCTGAGCGCAATAGAGTCGCACAAGCGTCAATTAGATGCTGTGTTGCAAACTCTGGGCGACGCCCAATTATACGTAAACTTGCAAAAGTGCGTAATAAGGGTTCCCTAGACACCTGTATTGGGCTGCATCGTAGGTGCACACGGTGTACGAGCAGACCCAGAAAAGGTAAAGGCTATCAAGGAATGGCCATTTCCGGGTTGTACTGAGGCTAACAATTACATAAGTAGTTATAGGAATAATACATGATTAGATAAGTATGGATAGGGCGGTATTTAATTAGCGGATACTGCGCGTTATTTTTATTATTGATTTATTATTGGGGTGCCAGACCTAATAATTAACCAATAATAATTTGACTTCCATAGTGAGTGGTTTCCATGAGCTAGGGAGCATATTCGCACTTACTCCGAATTAAAACAGTACTTAAATAAAAACAGTTATATTTACGAGTTAAAATTCCTTAACGCTTTTCAAGTGTAAGACGGGTTATCGGGCACTTATCCCGTTACAATTGTAGTCTACGATGGAAGACATATCTTCATGCGCACAATAGTGGTATGGATCAGTGTTTCATGTGTTGACAGCCCGACATTAGATGTCAACGCTGTAACTGAGGCACTTTGCGACGCCTGCGCGGCGCGTGCATTTTGTGTTGGTCTGCAGGGAAGCCTTTGCAGTAGAACCATCAGCCTTGCCGCGTTTCGGTGGAATAAGAGTAATCGTGCGGACTGAGCGACGCGTTTTGAACAGCTCGCTGGCCCTCTTGATCCCTTTGCGATGTTGTACACAAATTTAAAAAATGTTCCAAAGAGGAGAATATTGTTGCAGGGTAAAGACCGATCAGTTACACGTACCCATTATGTACTGCATACATGATGGGGAGGTCTAAAAAGGTGCGTGAAAACTTTAGACCTGCCACTTGGATGAGACACACAATTGACCCTTTCTTGTGTATGTAATATCCATTTATGAATTTGCATTGCAGGGGATGACGCTACTTAAAGCTAGGCGCCATCATGACGTCACAGAAGGACGTCAGTAGCGAGCTTAATTTTTTAAGCTCACCAAGTAGTCTATAGAGACGCCCATCCAATCTTTGCATATTATTAAC